TCCATTTTGGTCATTGCTGTCACAACTCACCAAGCTAGTGGTCTAGTTATCCATTTTTTGCATTGTAGGTTGTTGCTCTCTCTCTCTTCTTGTCAATCAAGTTTACCAGCCAATTGGTTGTCATTCCACTTCTTGTCAATCAAGTTTTTCCATTTCTCGAGGTCACATTCAGGCGGTGGGTGGCTTCTAGCATACTCCTCTCCCTTAGCACTTTTAAGGTTCAGGTATTTTTTTCGTAGTCTGTAGGTGTGGCTGCTCAAGCTCTGTCCACACTTTATTGCCACCGCTTTGCTAACATTTGTGGGGTCACCTTCCATGTCAAATTGATCCTAGCAACAACCACAAATCTTGTAAGCCTCCCTGAATTTTTTAAAAAAAAAATGAAGGATAGAGGAAATAAATATGACCCTGAATTCAAGTGTTTGCTCAGCAGATAATTTGGAAATTGAAGAATTATTGGTAACCAAACATGACCAAAATCTCCCAAAAATGAACTTAGATGGGCTGAACATTGGGTTGAGACTAGCAATGGCTACGGATATTTGTTGAAGGATCTACAGTTTAAGCTGTCCACAATTTATCCAGACTCCAAACACCAAACTATCAGCAACCTGATAATCCAAAAAGATGTGATATCCAACTTGTAGCAAACAAACCATGACAGAGATTTGTGAAATTTTCACTAAACTTTAGAGATGCAACTTGATACCTAGACTCAAAGAGATGTGACACATACTTGCCCGTATAGATTTTCATACTTTAACTTTGAGGAAGAAATGGTAATACAAATTCCCATCAAAAATTATTTCTTATTATAACCAGCCATGGCCATAGTTTAACCTTCTTCTCTACTTCCCATCATATAATCTCATTAAGTAGTAGGCCTCATGGTTACTAGATCAAGTACTTGGGCTTCAAATTCTTTAAAAATTGGGCAACTGGTGAGTACATACTAATTCCATCCAGAGAAATATTAATTAACTAATAGCTTTAGCATTACTGTTTTAGTATCAAAATACATAATACATACCTACAAATGCATATACACACACATAGACATAATTTTTTTAAATCCCATTTGTGTAGCAGCCGCAATATTTGTTCCTTCCCATTCTCATTGACTGCATGCCCTGGTTTCTTACCATGAGATGTTGTAGTGTTATAACTGGTTTGGCTGCTGTCCATGGGTCACTCCCAGTTTTTGATCCGAGCATAATTCTAGGGATACAGTGAATTGCCATGTTTAGGTGATCATTGCAAAGCCCATGGGTGGGAATGAGCATGGTATTCATCTTTTTAGTTAATCTCTGTTAATTTCTGTTAAGATAACTTCAAGCTTGTGATCTTGAGAATAGTTCTGTATATTTGTTAAGTTTCGGTAAACTTTTCTTATGTTTATTTATTGTTGACAATTACC